AGATCAAGTGAATGTTTCACCTGTTAAATTCAGAGAACTGGACCGAAATAATTATTTTAACGTATTTCGTCGCATGTGCAGTGTAAAATAAAAGTTGCTGTAAAATTTTATATTAAATTTAAAACGCTATACAATTTCACATTATACGAGTCAAATCGTGATATTTATCGTAGGCGTGAAATTGCGTGAATTTTAATTACCTTACATTTTATTCTACAATAGTTTTATCGTAATCGCATGATCTCGTAACGGTACGCGATGTGATTGATAAGGAAATACTAATTATGCACAGTATTATTTTTTACTTTCATTTACCGAGTCAAATTAACTTTTCAAATAACGTAAATGGACATGGTGCATATTTTTCAACAGTATTACAAACATATAAATAGAGGCATACAAAGTTATTGTCCCAAAGTGAGGTGCATTGTCTATGTCGTAATTTGAACAAATTTAGTTAACCTAGCGAGAGCGTAAGACAAAACGTTCGCACCCGTCCAACAATACTAATAAGCCGTGAAGCTACATAGTATATACGTAGAACGGCTCTTGAGTTTGAGCAGACCGCATTCGTTAGCAGCCGCGTGACGAACACCCTCCATCCCACTCTGACGTGCTCCTCAGCTCTTTTCATTAGGAAGTAATTCAGAGTACCGGGCACTCTTTCGCTTCATTCCTCCACGTTTGTACTGGAGTGCTCATGGCTTCGCTGATTCAGCTAAGGCTTTTGTGACAAGATTAAAGAGACACGTTTTCTTACTGACGCTATTCTCCCTGAGCTACATTTAAAATTAAAGTTGCTTACTCCAAGAAATCAGCGGTTATATGACTAAAACTTTTAATTTGCATAATATTTTTAGTTCAAAAGTTTAAATTATTTTTAGATAGTATCTTTAATTTTATGAAGTACACATTTTCAAAAAGTTTTTTCATGTTTATGTTCATAGATTTTTTTTATATTTATGCCACAAAACCGTCTACCAATAAAATATAATAAGGTAAACAGGCAAAAGCATTTAATTAGATAATGTAAAATTGTATAAAAAAAAAAACAATCAAAAGTAAGATTCTGTGTAAATAAATAAGTCTGAAAGCTCACTCAAATAACAAGATTCTTTGTAACAAATTGAAATTGACATAAAAATAAGATTCCAGCGTCACAAGAAATGAGAACGAAATTAACTTTTGAACACTTTTGACGTTTGTATCTGTTATTTAGTTTTAAAATGTTCAGAGTCGTCCCAGATATGAAAGTGACGTTGTCCACTGCTACTACTTCTGCCAAAATGATACTGAGGTGTCACATTCGTAAAATTATTCTTGCATCTCCGAAAGCCGTGAGTAATTTTGAAATGCACTTACAGGTACACAATTCAATGTGAATTAAAAATTTTAAGATATTTTCAACTGAGTATAGATTCTTATTTTCTATATTTGTGGCATGAAAATATATATAGATTTTCTCATTTTATAATTTAATTACGAGCAGAATAGAAAATATAGCTTTAAATTGAAACTCAGTCACAATAGGTTATAGCGTGTGTTGACCCCTTGTCGAGACTATTAAGTGGGGTCAGCTCAGTAAAACGTCCCCAGGGATCACAAACCCGATTTATGGGACATAGAATGAGCAATAAAAATAATAATTATGTACATTGTTTTGTTTTGAGTCAAAGAGGTAGGGATAATTCAATTAAATTAGCCTTCAATTACTACTGACATAAAAATACGGGGTTTTCACTGGTTCTTAGATAACTTTTATGAAGAAGAATATTAACGACAAGAAAACAAAGTTAATTTCATGTTTTAATGAAAAATGACGTGTGATGATATCAATTTAATTTCACTAGCAAAACGAAAAACAGCCGGGTCGGTACGAAAATGCTAATTCTACACGATATTTAACAGACCTAATAAAGCACTATCCACGGCATATATTCGTAACAAAATATTTTTTGATTGCATAAAATTAGTCGAAGTTATTTACGCAAAGAGCGTATCGAGGGATCAATCTCCGTTTATCGCTGGACAAAATCTATAGCGCGTGTGTAGGCCACGTAGCGTTTTATCCGCCCGGCGATCGCGAGGAGCGATATTAGCACCATTCGTCTCTGTCGTGCGATTTCCTAATTTGAATAATCGCAGGTGAGTATAGAAAATGATTTGCTGTAGTATTAGCCCTTTAAAGCTCAATATATACATACTGAATTCCTGATGTTAGCTTTTAGAAGAAGTCAAAAGCATATAAAATAATTTCACCTGAATTTAAAAGAGAAAACTGGAAAAATAAAAATGAACGCAGTGAGAATGATCCTATTATGCCGCAAATCAACTGTTAAAACAAATATTTGAAAAAGGGAAAGGAATTCACAGGCAACAAAATATTCTTCATCTCTGGCTACTGGGAAACGTGAAATCCGATTTAATTTGTTTTTATCGCGGGGCTTTATAATTTCATTTTCGCACTTTCCATTTGAAGAGAGCGCGCGGCGCCGCGGCGCGCCGCTCTATCCGAATGAGATCTCTACGATATCAGGTACAAAAGAACGATAATGAACGTTCACTGCTTGCTACGTAATCTAAATTATTATACGAGTCGAAATTCTTACTTGGCAGCAAAAGAAATCTACTTTATCTCTGGCACTGCGAGATATTTAATAAAATTAAAAGGTTCGAGTCCAAGAAGGGCCCCTCTCAATGTTAAAGGTGGCTCTACAACAGTATTTCAATTCTAATTTTCATTTAACTTTCGACAAAAAGTAAAAATATACAAGGTTTATATCTCATTCAATAGAAAATTTGCAATTTTATGACTAACAGCAGTTTTATTATTAGGTAATATAAACATGTTGACATACATATGTTGATTCTTGAAACTTATAGTTTTTTCAAATACATATTTTTTTATAAATTTACGACAACTTGATGAGAAAAGATAGTAAGCCTATGTGCCGATAGGTATCATATCAATAGTGGAATGTAAGCGAGGCGTCGAAAGGGGTGTAAAACTTTCCGTGTTACCAAAATACACGAGCTACAAGCCTGAGGCCTTATCGCCTCCACGGCGCCATTCATTGATTCTTGCCGCTTGACTGCACTAACTCTATTTTTCGACTTCCTTATCCAGCCAGGACAGACTTTTATTAACTTTCTAACTTGTTAAACATAACTTTCAGAAATATGAGATAAGTAAGATAGGATCCTGCAGAGATTTGAAACCCTGCCTTACCTCTTTTTGAATTACTGCTGCTTTTCCATTTTTATGAAAGCCATAATTTATCTAAATAAGGCACCAAATTTCATAAGTTAATATGCAATTTTTATTTCAAAGTAGACGGAACCTTTCTATACTCCACATAATACCGTTTCGGTAATCACGAATTGTCACATCAGTGAGCGCAGTTGTAATTAGCCAAATGCACCATGTAACGTGCCTCAGGCAATGAGACCAGCACCGAGCCGGCAGTATTGTTCCCGTAATGATTATATAACCGTACTTTTACTACACATTTAAAATTTAAGTGGTCTTAAAATTGTACGGAAGATTGTGCAGTACTCTATTTCACCTCAACGAAGCGTAACGAACTGAAAAGGGTGTTCGTTAAATCCGAGAGTAAGTTTGTTTTACGAATATATGCTGGTGATTTCGCAGAGATCGGGATTTGTTGTAGAAATTTTTGTAGAAAATGAAATACTAAATAAAAATGTCGAATCATATAGGTAAAGTGCCAATATTGTAATATCTATATGTGAAACAATTTATTTTAAAGAATAAAATGTTTCTGAGATCAGTGGATTTGGAGTTTATAAAGCGCCTTATTTGAAATAACAACGAACCGTGAATGTCTAACTTAAATAAGATTAAATATTCCTAGCCGACAGGAAGTTTCTTCGAGGAGCGTATGTAATCAAAATCTGCACTGGAAAACTTTCATCGGAATCTTCTAGCAATTGCAGAACCTGGTCCTTGGTAAAAAACTAAAATGAAGCTGTCGCTTAAACTAATTTCATTTCCAACTTCTGTGTTAGAATAGTTTTTATCATGTTCCACAGGTTTTTTTTACTAAGAAACTTGCTTGCAGTTAAAAAATCAATTTCTCAGATCCAACTGGGAAGCAACTTGTTCAGTGTTTACTTCTCGGGAATGCGACACGGTAATGTAAAAGAATTTCTTTTCAACATTTTTAATTTTTTAATGTACTTGCAGTTAAAAATTTCAACATATTCACCTTTGTGAGAAGATGAAATACTTCACAGTTATTTGAGTAAGTGAAAAATTGTAAAGATATTTCTATAAACAGTCTCTAGAGTCTCTCTATATAACAGTATCTCTATATAACAGTATCTAGAGCAAACGTTAAACAAAATGAGACGAAATACTAGATCTTTTTAAAATACACATAATTGATACAAATCGCAGCGATCATGATAAAAAATACACTTTGGATGGAAACATTTTCAAAGCAGAAAAACTATTAAACGTGACTAAGTAGATTTGCGACAGAGCGGAGTGGCCCTTGTCCTTCAAGAACGCAATTAGTTCGCTTTTTGCTGCACTCTATATTTTGACTAATGATTGGACGCTGTGGTTGTTCACAACAAACGCTGATTTATCGCTGAGCTCTGTACAACTATTAACTTTATTTAGACGCGCATAATTTGTCAACCATTTATTCCGATTTTTTTTATTGGTTATGATTGGGTTTTAATAACGTAGATATCGACAGAGCATACTGTTTATATAAATTCTTGTTTTAAAAAATAATACAAACTTGTGAATACAAATATATCTTATTTATTTTAAATACTGATCAATATTTTAATGATTCTATAATTTTCTTAAAATAACCTTTTGTATCAAATTAATTATTGTGTAGACTCTATTTGGTGATACATGGGAGAAAAATACAAAAAAACTTGTTAGAAAGTGTGCGGCCTTGTTAATCTTCCTATCAGTTCCGATTCATATTAACTTATAGAACCGTAAATATATTATACAAATGTGTTGGGTTGTTAGTAGTAGTGAATGCGCTACCACGTCGTTTTACTTTGTGGATAAGGAGGCTCGTACGGCCTGGGGATTCAGCGTCGCTTTGTCAAGGGAGAAAAGAATGGATCGTGATGAGAAATGTGCTGGAATAATTTATCTTTGGGTTAGTTTAGAAAGAAGCTTGTCTTCCGCAGTACGGACGGAGGCTTATTTCTAATTCAGGGGCGTGTTTTCGAAGGAAAGATGAAGCGTGTGTGAATAACTGAATACAAACGATGACGCGCCAATTGTGGACCTCACTTGGAATTATGAAACGGCTGCATAGAGAGTTTCATATAGACATATACAAAGCAGTTTCCAGGATGTTGTAGAATTCAAATAAGGTTATTGAAAATATACGATTATAAGAAATATTAAAGTACAGGCACTTCTAGCTTAAGAATTGGTCTTGATTACAAATGTAACAGCTAAGATTTATGTTTGGATTTATACATACAGGCAGGAAAATTCTTTCCACGGGCTCTGAAAAACAGCAATATTGAAACCTATTCTATTAAATTGTTTTATTGAGGGAGAAACTTAAATTGGAGTGATTAAAGCGTACCCTCCGTGATTGATTTCTCCGAGACGCTACCCCTCGCCTGGTAACTAACCATTGTGCCCGTAGATTTATTTCTGTTTCCTCGTTTTTATTGCGTACTCAGATCTTATAACGAAATAGTTACGGCTGTTAAAAGGTTTTATTTGTTAACCTTCGGCATATACGGCCATAAAATAGATTCGTAACCAAAGAAGCGTACGCGTTTTAGATTTATAACTGTATCACGTGAAAAAGAAACAAATTTTGCCATATAGAAGGATATAAAAGTGGATAGCATAAATTTATCGGGAAATTGTTGAAATCTCAGAATAATAAAATATTTTCTATTGAATATTATATGAAAAGATCTTCAACGGGCCCGCTCATTTTACTTCATTTTACTACCTACCTTATTATGCGGAACCTTATTCTCAATGTAAAGCAGGCTGACTGTTAAAATATTCGGAGTGGTACTGAGTACATCACTTACCTGAAATTAAAGAAATACAATTAAGTACATAAATATAATTTAATAATATAACTTAGTACCTAAAACGGAATAGAAAGGGAGAGTGGGGGTAGAAATATAATGGTTGATATGGCGTTGAACAGATTTAAAGTGGTGCGACCTCCCCCTGGTCTGCGAGCAAATTCACTTAATTTACCGCCCGCTGAAGATACGCTAAAACTTTACGCACTTAATAAACTCCTAGGCGAATTAAAATTCCGTTGGTTTAACGACAATCGTGTCGGAAGACAGTTAACTCTTAAGTTATGCTTAATTGTGTATATAAAGATGAAGATAGCTAAAATAAAACTGCATGGAATTATTAAATAACTCTTAGGTAATACTTTTATGAAAGTTTTTGGCACTGAACATTTTGAGGTTTAGATTTAGGATAAGAATAAACAAATCATGTCTTCTAGTCAGCGGAATAAACAAGCGATAGGAATATATACCCTCAGAGTCGTAAATCAACAGCGAGAAATTCCCGACTAACGTGATTTCAAAAGACAATACCATGCTCTTATTTGTTTGTGCGTATTGTTCCTAAATTAAGCTTATCTCGACATTCCATTTAGTGTTACTGCATTGCTACGTGGTTAAATCCACGGTGTCCGTGAAGGTTTAAAGGCTTACCTAAGTTTAAGTTTTTACATGAACTAGTTTATCATATATTAAAAAATATACACCTGGTCTTAATTTAAATAAATACCATACCTTATTTAATACAAAATAAATATTTAAATTCTTGGAAGTAAAAAAGTTCTTTTTATGCCATTTATGATGGAAAGGAAGCTTCTGATTGAAGCAACAACAAGGTACCGGTTAATTGGCTATTTCTAAATTAACTAAGTTAACGGGTTAAGTAATGGGAATAACAACATTTCGTTTGCTCCTTTAGTTCGTATCTGGGAGAGCTTTATCAGTAATTGAACAGGAACTATTACATTTAGACCCGGCATTATATCGGAACTTCGGATTCAGACCTTCCCGCTAAAATACGCTGTAATCCCGACGAAAATCCCGCCTTTATTTATGTGCAATGTTAAGTGGATTTTGTAATTCGAAACGATCCACTCCATCCTTTACTCCAACTATACATAAATTATAATGTGTTAAGAAATGAATAAGTTTAAATTAATTACGAATATATCTCTTGCAATTTGTGAGGGTGTAGTGCTTTAATTATAACCTTATTTATTTCATTTCGCCTATATGATATTTATAAATTTTGTTTTCAATATTGATGTGATAATAAATCTTTAATGAATCTAGAAACATATGAACGGACATCATTTTATTTTTATAAATCCCCTCTTTTGATAAAACACAATAATATTAATAAAAAATATAAATAAAAACTCCTCTGTTTAATATTTGAAGAAATAAAAGGTAAATAAAATACACGGATAGGCCGTTACCGAGATAGTTACCTTTCGACGATTATTACATGCCCGCCGGCGACGAGATCCCGACAGCTGTCCGACACTTCGCCTTCAAAAATTATAATAATATTCCATAGCCTCGTTTATTTTACCATTCAAATAATCTAATTCAAACTTTTTAAACATTTCTAAATATTAATTATGGCTTTATACATTTAAATAACGATTATATTTTGAAATGTTGTTGTATTTTAATTCGGAATCGCGGTGCGGGTGAGACATTAAATATTTACTGTCTCCGGTTAAAGATGTTTCTGGCAGTAACCGACCATTAAAGTTAAAGGCAGCAGTGTAAATAATAACTGTGAAGTCTGCTCTATCTCGTTGTTTTCACCGTAAAATAAACATTGAAATGTATCTTCATACAAAGATTGCACTAGATGTTATTTAAATTAGTATTTGTATCGCAATTGAAGTATACATTTTTCGAAAAAATATTATAATAAATAAATTTTAAATGTTATTATATTATCTGGAAAATAATTTTATTGCCCAAGATTTGTCATAAACCATATTGTAAATAGAAAAAAGGAAACTATGTATTGAGTATTTGCGTATACAGGGTTGTCAATGGCTGCGTGATACCTACGAGACGTGACATTGACAAAGGTACCGCTAACCTATGTTTTCAGATTCCCAGTTCGCAGCAAAAACGTGTCATTGGCCCAACTATCTAATTTACCCGAAGGTAATCCACTCTTTCAAATAAAATTCTAGTAATTCAACACGTATCCTTAGAGAATACAGCTTAGTACGCTTTATTACATAGCTCTCAACTCAACGTAAATAGAAAAATAATATCGGCAAAAGAGGTCGGCTTAACTTTTATATTAGTCAGAATATTCTATGCTAATTGCTAGAATGTTTGCTTGTTTCTGTGCAAACCTTCACCAATATTATTATGAATATTTACTAGCAGTTAAAATAATGGTTTTGTAAATTATTGAAATGTCTTTATTTATGTCTTAATCTTTCTAATAATTTGAATTGTGGATAATAAACAAGAATCAAGCTTTTAGCAAAGGTTTAAAATGTGTCAGAAGACACAATTCCATTAAGTAATTAAGGTAGACATACACGACTGTTATCAGTATTAAAAATTCATGATATGCGAACCGTCTTAAACGGTACATTAGCGAAATCTATATCTCAAGGATTACTACTATAAGAGGAATTATTCCGCGGCATAAGGATAAAATAAAGGCTTATTCGATATAAACGTTCCACGAAACATTGCTTCGTATGGGGATTGTCTTGGAGTAAGCAAATAAAGTAATACACGAACATCACCTGACGCTGAGAGTTCGTTCCCACGCGTTCTGTTGCCACTTGGTATAATATAATACGCTAATTTGCTTTTGTTCTTAAAGTAAGCATCTATTTCGGTTACTAAGTCTACTTTGAATGTAATCTTCACGTAGTTGGTACATTTATGAGAAACAATGAAATGCTGAAAGTAGCGTATGTTTTTGATTTTATAATCGGTTTACTTAAAACGAAGAAACTCATGTGTTCGTTATTTTGAATATTACTGATTTTATTTCAAATATACGCATACGTATTGTTATCCGTAACAACATACAACGTTATTTATAAAATCCATCAAATAAACCCGGCCAAGTTATCAAAGTAACACTTCTAATTATGACGTTATTTAAACACAACACTTGAATGAAACTTCTGCTCGAGTAATCAACAAGCAGGAGATAAAACCGAAAGTTTAATCGTAATTCACGATATGATTACAGGATCTCCAGCCATCAAAGTTGTCGAAAGGAACGATGTTGAGCAAGCGTGAAATAATTAAGGCAAGATAATATGCTCAGGCTAATGAACCGTCCTATGCCTCCACTAAGATAACTCCATCTCCTTTAATTGGGTTCTATTAATGTTATGAACTAAATTTTGTGACATTAACAGATAACCTTAGGATGTTCCGCGACTTTTATATTTAAAGTTTTGTTACAACATTTTAATTGATAAATAAATAACTCATACTCGAATATTGAGAATATTCTTGAACGAGAACGAATATTTGGAACGTTTATTTTGCTAAAGACAGTTACATAGTTTTCAAAGTACGTTTCGATGTTAATTAAGAGTAATCACATTAGTCTCACTGACATAAGTTAAGGAAATTTCGAGAATAGTTTGTAAGATATATGTTTGATGAGTCTCCCAATGTCTTCTGTCGTCTTGCCTGGGTGGATTACGTTCGCGCCATTAATCGCTGAAATTGCGATCAGCGGTCCCTCAGACCCGACAGTCTTCCAATTAAAATATATGGATATCATTATAAAATGTAAGTATAATTGATGTAGAATATATATGTCAAGTATAAAATATTGAATTACTTTGTATATAAAGTCGCTAAATACTTTTATCGTGATAAAACAGAGTTTAATGTTGACAGAATGGTTTTCCATATTAAAAATAAGCTCTGTCCAAAATTTGGACGTTGTGATGAGAGATGGACGGAGTTGCGGAGACGTCATCGATCAATCAACTAACTGACTAATACAATCTATCAATACGTCACGTGTGAAGTCACGCCAGATGGCAGCATCGGCGGGAGATATTAAAAATCAATTTTGACTTACTTTTGTTTCAGCAGTTTTAAATATATTTGAAATTTCTGTTAACATTCTGCTTTAAATAATGTTTTCCATATTGTATTGTATCGAATATATAATATAATATCACTCAAAAGATGGTTGCGAGGAAAAGCATTACATTTGCTGCAGTCCGAAGTCAAACACTATCCATCGAGTATAGAAATATCTATTTGTTGCATCAACAAAATATAGCGCAATCGATTTAAAAGCTTAGTGCAGAGAAATGTGTCACGCAATATTTTTGTAGCCATCATATTTTCTGCAGTTAAAATAATTGAAAACGGTTGATATAGATAGTCCCAAATGTTTAGGCACTTTATAAAACGGGGAAGTCAAGCGGGGCTTTGTTTCACCGTTTTAAAAAATTTACGTGTAAATTGGATAAAAGCCTTTATTTATATTTAATACCGGTCAGAGAAACAAGTTAATCGCCGGCGTTAGCATCCACGCACGTAGATATCCTGATCGGACACTTTTATGACATCGGACACTCCGCGTTAAATGCGGCGGCTTAAAAAGGGTTGATGGCAATAGCCTTGTCACCTCAAAAGGCTCGGGACATAACGCTACCTTCATCATAGCGTGGCCGGACGTTCATTGATAATTAATGGGTGGTGCCACTGTAACGAAAACAAACGACGGGTGGCACGCGTACGATAACGATTAATATCTTCGCAGCAAAAACAAACCTACGCTCCTAGTCTTGGTGTGATAAATCATATCTCCGAGGCGCAAAAATAAATGAGTCTAATGATAAATGGCGACGATTCGCGGAGCGTCGATGAGTCTGGTGAGTTTTGAAATTAAACCCTTTGGACACGTAATGGGATATAGCAACAGATTTTTTGCTTAAAATGTTTTTATAATTCAAGAAGTTTTATAACTATTTGGGCAATCACATCATGCAAATATGTTAAGAAACGAATAAACTTCTCATTGCTATACAGTTTACGATATTTTAAACCATTAGTTAAAGTTGGAAGAATACCCTTTGATAAATTGATTGATACAAAACTTCTATATCTTGAATGCGATATTGAAGATTTTCAGCCGCATATTGGCGAAAAACTCGATGGATATTGTCAATCATTCAGTAAAGAAAAATATCTCAACTGCGAACATTTATCGAATATTTATCTTTTTTCTTTTACCCCGCCAATGCTAATATTTGAGTCTGAAGAATGTTAGGATGTAGGTATAGAGACTTTTTCTTTAAAAGTTATTTTGCGAATTGGTTTTGAGGAAATTAAAATTTTTGGTTTTATTTTTATTTACAATTGTCGTCGAACGGCTCAATCAAGTTTTACAAACCTAGTTGTTAAGTTGCGATCGACTTATAAAGACCAGTAAATAGTAATCATCTTTTATAATATAATACTAGCATTAAGTTATAGATAGTAGTAGGGTATAAGGATTTTATATTCATAATGCTAACATATATGATGAAATAATTATCTATTATTACCAAGTAAAACAGCGTATTATATTCAATTTAATTCTAAGGAACCGATTATTAATGTCGTATAGGTTCTTTAATTTACGAGAATTAACAGCTTTTATTAAGTCAAAAGATTAAATAAATATGACCCAACAATAGCTAAGTAGTATAATAAAATTATGTTTTGTTTTATAAAAACAACTACAAAAGAGTAAACTGGAGTTGTCACAGCAGACTGCTAATTATGTTAGTGATTCCCTACTAAAGTAAACGACTTCGCTTTCTGTTCAAACAACCACTCAAGTTTTGTCAGGAAAAATTCGCATACCTTATTTAGCTCCCTAAGGAGCCGACAAAGACTGTGTAACGTTTTTGATACTACAAACAATTGTTATAATACAAGATAATAAAATATAAACGTATTTCGAGGCGTCAGCAGTGGATTTTTTTACACTGGAACAGTTTAAATATTTAAATATATTTCTTTTTCCCTACTTTCTAATTAATAAATATATTACATAACAAAAGTTGTTATTTTCGTTAACTATAATAACAACAATCAAGAAATAAGTTCAATTTTCAACTGCAATCAAGTGAAACACATGATAGAAATGAGATTAAGCAGAACTAGCGTTGATTCATAAGGGGCGCAAGGGAAACTTCTCCCTTCATTAGTAATTTTGTTCAAAAATAATAATTTGTTTAAATTCACTTATTTCAGTGTTTTATTTCAATTAAATTTTTGTTAAAAATAACTAATCTCTTATATGTCTTATTTACATGAACATTTAAAGTTCTAGTATATTGGTTAAAGTAATAACAAGATTTAAACATCTGATGGAATGAGAATTTTAGTTAAATGTTAGTTCTACAATATTTCCTATGAATAAAATCTTGTATACTTCAAACTTTAGCATAAACCAATAACAATTTCCTACAAATACAAAACTATCCGGATATAATATTTCGGAACGTATTGATCCCTTAGGATCGTATGTTCGGTTTCGTTCGTGGAACTTTTCAATCCCTTCGTGTTTAGGGAGTTGCATTGGACAATCTTATCAGATAGAGGGAGAGATTTTCCAGTGTCCGGCCTCTCACCTCAAAGGATTTCCCTCGGCGCCATGGAACGTTTGTCGATTGGATTTCAAATTATTATGCGAACAAGCCCTTTAGAACACTTTTCAATACTTTTCTCTATTGGGACCACTGTTTGATGTACGGGACTAAAGTTATGATAATATATTTCGTGAACTATTTTATAAATTAACTTGTTTTATTTCAATATTTTTTTTAATAAATATTATATTAAAATAAAATCTCTCTTTAACATATGTGATATATAAATTTCAATCGTTGTATGATAGGAAACATCTAGATATAAAAGTTTATTCTTTACAGGAAACCTAATATCTTTTCAGTTCACTCTTAGCTTGGATCGCATTAGAGCCCGCGCCGCCCACGACGGAGATAATGCCATTGCAATACCCAAGATCGGATTGTATTGGCAAATTGGATGAAATGCACCGCTTACCACACAAAAGATAAGAACTGGGATACGGGTACCAGTCGTTATATTATGTAACGGCTATCGTTATATCAGCCTCGTACAAGTCTCATTGCGACGGAAAATATCCTGCCTAATCGGTCTATAATCCAAATCTTTAAGCTTCAATATTTCACTGGTGTATTATTTTCGATTATTGAAGTTTTATTATCTTATATTCCAATAAAATAAATAAGGTTGTAGATTCTTACATAATTTTTTCATTGTAAAAAGTTTTGTATTGAAAGTAAAAGAAGAAACTTTAAGGGAAAATAATTTTTGCTCATAAGAAAATATCTAAAAACATTGTCGATGATATCATATAATTTTTACGTATTTTTTAGTTACGTAAATAATATTTATATTCAAATTTATGAGTAGTTTTTACAACTTTTTAGTTATATAGAAATATAAATATAGATTTTATAACTATAATTATAAAGTATAAAAGCAATATAGTCTTCAGCTAGTCACTTGTTACAGCGATTTTTTTTGAGAATGACAAATATTATCCATGTAAACGACGATGCAGATTATTACTGCCCGTCGGGGACACATAAAGAGGTCTATAAGAAATGTAATGGAGGACGTTCGCTCGATAACATGAGATTTGGCCGATGTCGCAAAAAATATAGTGATCTTTATCTATTTACTCATAAAATCATCTTGCTGATCATCCTAACAAAGGGTTTCTTTTATCGTCATTACGGGGTGAATTTTAAATTGGCTGTAAGGGTGTTCTACTAAATTATGTATAAAGGATCAATACATGAACCGCATCCAAGTACATACTCTATGAGTCCTCATTGTCGGTCAGAACTCCATGTAAAACGGATTACGTGATAGAAATTTATGTGGCTATTGTAAACTCCTTGGAAAACACTAGGGTTTAGTAAGTGATGTGAATAGTTACAATATTTGGCCCTTCGATTTTAATATACCGTGTCGTTTGTTTCCCAAGTTTAAAGAAGGAGAACAAAATATGCTAATGTTTTAATAAACCTATCAAACTCCCGTTGGAAAAATCTCAGCGCGACGTGATAAACAGAACGGCACGCTTAGCGTTATCTTCGCTTGACGATATCATTATTTCCTCTTAGTAAAATTTTACTGAGTAGAAAACAATCGTGAGCAGCATACCATTTTAGTTTATCGATCTACCAGTACTATGTGTATATTAGGTAATATAACCAATGAAGCTATTGATGTATTATTGTGTTACTGTAACGTTCGCCAGAATACAACATAAATCTGTTTTAAATAAAAACAAAATCAATTTTACTTTCTTTAGTGTTTAATTTCATCATTTAAATTCCTCGTGTTGTTTACTGGCGCGCATCGACCGTTGTATGGACTCTCAAAATATACCCACATCCGTAACGAAAGCCTGCACTGTTGTTTATGGAAGCCACGTTTCATTGTTATTGTCGGTTTTCATTTTGATGTTCAATTTTTTTCCATTTACGTCGTAATCGCTGAAGCATACGGAATTATTTGTTTTTTAGTCCCTCCCGTGAAGAATGGAGGTTCAGGGAAATGATTTATGTGAAGCACAGTGGGCATTTCGCGTGCGTTAAGATGTTATAGATCACTTGGTAAGGAAGACTAATGCACACCAAAGAAATGTGGTTGTTTTGGGTTATGTAAAGAAGCATAATGCCCATTTGCCACTGCTCAACCATAAACGTGATTTAGTGAGAAATAGCGCTTATTTGCATTGCGAATCCGTATTTCTATGAGCGCGTAAATATTGTTCTTAGATTGTAAGAAATAAGACATAAAATGCATTGAATCGGCACTTGCAGTTATTTCTTGGATTTTATGGGCGAGTTACATATCTCTAAATAAAGAGGATTTGATCTGTGTTATTAAATCATATCATTACTAACTTCGAGTGATTAAATACTGAAATAATATGTATAATTTATTTTAGATATTTTATAACGATAAAACATTTTTCGTTTCCTAATATTTAAAATTAGTATTGATTATTGTATATAATACGAAATATTAAAAATGATCTTTTTAGGAAAAATAATAGCTTCGTTACTGAAATTGTAAGTTGTTGTTCATTTTCAATACATTATTCCTAAAACAGTACATACTTATAATAATCATGTACATATATTATAGAGGTATAAACAATTTTCATATAAATAACAGCAAGGAAGATATTATACCCGACAATATCTCTCTGAATGAAGCTTTTGGAGTCAGCAAGGGTTGTGTTTTTGTATGCACGCGCCGGAAGCGTTAGTTCGAATGAGGGCTGACTGCCCTTCATACATACTTAAGTGCCTCCGCTTTAGTATCGCAAAAATGTAATTAAAATTCACATCTTCCTGAAGCACCGGTCGTGCGGAGATAACTATATTATTGTTATGTACCACGCTTTGTTACCAGTCATACATAGTCTGAATGAATATGTTGCATGCTTTCATAGTTCTCATTATGTGTTGTAAATTTTTTGACGGAGTATTTTACCTTTAGTACCATAACACCATCTATTAACGATATAGTATTATGTCCTATATAAAGTAAATAAAATAAAAAATCTTTGTTTTAGTGTTTCCTTTACGTATAATATTTTTGTATTATGAGTCTACACCGTAGGCCCCTATCCCTCTTTCTTCTTGTTCCGGTCTATTACAATTTATTACTTTTCCTGTACAAGGGGGATTCTTAATAAAAACAAACACGTACATTATTAGTTTCATTATATAATAATATTAATTTGGCCGAGTTGCGTTTCAAACGCCTATCAGTCATGGGCGCTGTCAGCGTGGTTCAGTATATCACGACTAACCTATGGTATCTTAAGATATACATCTAAAATCAAAGAAAACAAACATACAATTCGAATTATACGTAAGTGTAGCACGCAAGCCATTACAAAAGATAACGTTCCTAAAATATAAAGTAAACAGTGAAGGATGGTAGCAAGTTAAGGTGTGGTAGAAAATCATTTTTCACGAACAGTCGCCTGATAGTAGCTAATGCTTTACCACTTCGTTCCACTGGGCTCGACCGCGATTCTGATAGATAGGAAATGAAGACGGATTACCGTCGCGTGGCTTCTGTTAGCAAAGTGACGGTGACGACCGCGATTCGATAAATATGGCGACTGCATTACTTTATCTAGGTCTGATTAAGCAATATAAATCGTTCGGTATAAATAAACACGGATTGCAAATGGCCTTTCTCACTGTGAGAATATTTCTGTATTCATTAATTCTTAAAACTTTCCTTTTACTGATTTAATAAAATATAAATAAGTAAGCTAAAGAAGTGTTGCTATATACTATTTCAAGAACAATGTAATGTATGTATGTGTTATTCGGAGATGCATAACGACTCTTACGTATGCGTATGCGATTTTCGTAGTAATCGTAATTTTAAACGTAATAACGTGTTAAAAATTTTACTTAGTAAAACCTAACCTTAGCTATTTATAACACTTTGTACCAGTTTTGAAAATAAAGAATTTTCATATTTATAAAGTTAAGAATATTTCACGGAACAAAAACATTTGAAATAATTCTCTTTTATTGCGAGCGTAAAATTTTATTGTTGTTCATGTTAAGTAAAAAATGTTGGCGCAGCATAATATCTTAATGGTTTTCCTGAATTGTGTGATAATTTAATGGAGTAAGCCCCGTGAATTATAGAAGGATTTTGAAGCTTACTGGCCCATTTTACATGTATTAAAGTATTTATAATAGACGCACCGACAACACATATAAGAATTTCTAACCCTTCCCGGGCTCATCAAATTTATTTTACTTTTATACAAAAAATATATTACGGTATAAAGATATACAAGAAAATACGCCTCGTAGGCTTATTTTCGAAGATCGGGTCAAGTGTTTCAACTTCAGAGCTAAGAGCTCTTGCGTCTTGCAGAAATCTTGCATGCGGATTAACATAGCTCGCAAAATTCAGGACTATTATACTAGGCAAACTTTTACTATGCCCAATGACAAAAATATGTCTGGGAAAGAGATTGTTAGTCTAATTGCTGTATTTGCCTTGTGCTAAAGATTTGAAAGAATGACTAAAAATAATTGCTAAGTCATTAACTTGTAGGTGAAACAACCTTGCACTTGTGGTATTTCTGACCCACATTTGTTCCCCGATGACGTGCGTGTTAACAATCTTCTTGATGGGCTCATGTTTACACATAATACAGGTTAATTATTTTCTATGTCTATCTGACTTATTACCCTATTAAGGCTCGTATAACATTTGTTTTTTCATTTTAAAGCCACTTTAGATTATTCGCATGCGTGTCTCATTAAGTTAGGCGTGACGATAAATTATAGCGTCACAAAAGTTACAATTTTATTTTAAATTAAAACATTATTGCCGCTTTTATATTAATTTTGTATAAAAATTATTATGAATATAAAAAAATAATAATTGTGGGACTTATTTATCTCAAATAATCAAGACTGTTCTATTTACATTTTTACATGAAATGTAAGTAATGGTTAATGGAAAAGCTGAAATCATTTATTCAGGTTCCTTGTATCATTTGTTTTCGTCAAATTAGACACGATTCCATCACGATCCGAAAGGAGCGGCACTTAATGAAAGGCGTCCCACTTTTTGCTGAGCGAAAAGAATGTACGCACATTTTCTGTAATATAATCCTATTTTGGACTTTGTTTGGGTTAACTCGCTCAAGCGTCCAGTGAAACCGGGACCTGAGGACTTCGAAATGACATTTTCACGGAGTAAATCCAGATTTGTTTGGTAGACTGACTTTCTAATTTCACTGTAGAAGTTTGTGAAACGTATATCGTGTTCACTAGACCTGGCTGTAACCGCAAGCACCCTATTTCAATTCATTTTGAAAACTTGTCCCGGTTACTTCACTGGTTTTATAATCACAAAACACTTTGATTAATTCACACCGCAGCGAAACAAAGTTTTGTATCCTGAAACGAGATTCCTGTATAAATAGGATTACAG